ATTAGTACCCTCCCTCTTGTGCTGCTGTCTCAAACTGACAAGTTCATAATCAGTTAAAACACTTGCCAAGGGTGCTTAGGCAAACAGCCAGGTCCACCACATTGCTTTCCATGTGTATTCCCCATTGTGCACCTTTTTACTCACTTGTAATCCCTTCCTCTCCAATGAACGTAAATACAAATATGAAACAGTTAATGTGTCCTCCTTCCCCTCCTTTGCTCTCCTTTCCAATTGTCCATGTCCTCCTTGACCTGTTTGGATATTATATCTGGTCATCTTAGCCCAAAATGCTTCTAGAATAGATCTCAAATTGTTAAGAAAAATTTGAGGATTATAACCAAAAGGAAAAAAAAGGATGATAGCCAAGGAAAAAAAATCACTAGGGGAGAAGAAAAAAGTGTTTAAACACTAGTTCTTAAATAATGGTTAATTGGATGCAGAGCAGGAACTGAATGGAGCTGATGTAATGGCCCTGACTCCATTCTCATCTCGTGTCCGTCTGCTGCGGATTGCTGAAGAAGTGTGGTATATGTTTCATGCACTGTATATATCTTATGCCCTGACTCTTCGGTGGTTTTTGCATGAGTTAAAAAGCTTGGCGACTGTATTTTTCTTGTGTGCGCAGCACTTTAACCAAACTTTGTGGCTCACGTTGTCATCTAAAAAAAATCTGTGATTTTGGGCCTGGAAGCTCAAAATAGCTTTGTTTTGGGTTAAGATGACATGGTTAACCACAAAGGCCATTTCAAAGAGGGGTGTTTATGTTTGTATCTTCACAGCAGAGCGCATCCATGAACACCAACTAGCAGTCAGAAGACACAATGAAAATTCCTTCATCTCCCAACACATGGACGGACTCAACCACAGTTTCACCTGGGAAACTGTGAGCATCCTAGACCAAGCCAAATTCAAAAATGCTGGGGAATTCCTGGAAGCCTGGCATTCAGACAAATCAGCCATCAGTAGATACATAGAGATAAACCACATTCACACACCATTCAAAGGAGACAATAAAAAAGCTAAGAAGGAAACAAAAAGACCAGACCGCATCCTCTCCAACAGCCTACACCCAGATAAGCAAATGATCAGAAAACGATACTGTAATCAAGGAGAAAACCACACTCCCACCAACACTAGCAGGGCAAGCTACTGGTGAGTGTGGGGTTTACTATAGAGCAAACCCCACACTCATTAGCACGGATGATGTCACCTAGCCGGGTAATGAAGCGTCTGCATGCAAACAGCCAAACTCAGAGAGCACCAAGGACTCCACTGTATCTTCATTTCCTGAGTTTCTAGGTTAGGATATTCACATTTTTACCTGCAGGTGTCACAATTCAAAACGTCATCTTATTTTAATAAATTTATTAATTTTGATTCATATAGCTGCCCCTCTAGCCACAGTAACTGTGGGTGGTGAACAAAGTTTAAGTGGAAACCACCATAGAAAATCTTAAAACATACAATGCTAAACATCTAATTCAAAACAAAAATGGCAGTTAAGATAAAAGCAATATAATGTTGTATTAACCCACCTGGGCCTCCCTCACTTCATGACCCCAAGCCTGGGCAAACCATCAGGTTTTCAACACCTTGTGGAAGGTCTGCACGGTTGGGGCTAAGCTGATCTCAGGTGGGAAGCTGTTCCAGAAGGCGGGTGCCGTAGCAGAAAAGGCACAGATCCTCGATACTGCAAGATGGCACTCTTTAATTGATGGGACCTGAAGTGTGCCTCTCCTGCAGGGCGTAATAGGATGGGGTAAAGGTGTACATCTTCCTTGCAGCATGCATTATTGCTGATCTGGGATGTGTGTCCTTTTTACACAAATAAGCCTTTCTCTAGAGATTTGTATGTGCTGATAAAAGTAACCCAAATGATGCTTTCTGCCATCTCTGCTTCTCTGTGCTTAAAAAAAAATAAGGGCTGGAAGTACTACTCAGAATGGATTTTTAAAACGTACAGGCCTCATAATTAAACATCAGTTTTACTTTGTGGCAATTGTTTACAGGGATAGGAAATCTGGCTATAGATAGTTATTGAAGGCAATGAACCTTCAGTTATCATCACACAATTGGGAAGGAAAAGCGGTTGGGCCTTTCTGTGATGACATTTAAACAATGTGTGTTGTTCAATGCAAGTATATGTGTAATATGAACGGATAATTCAGCCCCAACCACATGTATTTGGATGGAACACCTACAGCCTGCAAAAAAGCCCAAATGAACCCGGTTGGAGTTACTCACAAACAAGCAGCTTCATGCCTGCAGGGTTGTGCTACAAACATTTTTGAAAAATTAACATCCAGATAAGGTTCCAGTTGTGGCCTTAAAAAAAAAAAAAATACTGGCAGGTGAAATTAAAATGGATTTTTGAATGGATCAATCTAACAGAACAGCTGTTACCAACAGAGGCGAATTTGTGGAGCTCAGGGTTGAATTGTGGCGTCCTTGGGGTTCTCTGAGCTTGGCTGTTTTCTTGCAAACGTTTCGTTACCCGGCTAGGTAACATCTT